ATAGCTAGTATAATGCCTCTTTTATAAACAAAATAAGGAAGGACGTGGTGGTTAGTGCCCCTTATGTTAGAGGACCCCTTATGTTTGAGGACCTCTTGTAAGAGGTCTTGTCCTCCGGACGTTGAACACCAACATTAAGAAAAAAAACAAAATAAGGAATGGCATGCTGTTTAGTGCTCCTCATGTTAGCGAACCTCTAATAAGAGGTCTTGTCCTCCAGACATTGAACACCAACATTAAAAAAACATTTGACAAGTGGGATTCAGAACTCTGGTTGGAGTAGTATTCATTAAGGATAACCAATAGACCATTCTAATACATCTAGTATAAATTTACGAAAATATTGTACTTAAAGTTTAAAAATATTGTGTACAACCAATTTGTCCAAAACTCGCCTCGGTCCATGGCCAAGGCCGAGTTCGAGCTGCCTCGGCCAAGTTCGAACTGCCTCGGCCAAGTTTGAAAATGCTGCACCATTGACTTCTAAATAACTCGGCCGAGCCCAAGCAGCCTCGGCCAAGTTTGAAAACGCTGCACCATAGACTTCTAAAGTAAGGGAACACCGTATGAGTTGTTGTTTGGATTTGTACAGTTGGGATTGCTGCAAGAAGCTACGATTGAAAGAAAAATGGTCTAAGACAAGAATAGAACACTTAAGATTTGGGGAAGAGGCGTAGGGCGTTACGGTTCTAAGCTAGCAAGCTCAATCGATATAGGTACATACACCTGTGCTAGAGAGCCCAAACAAAAAGTTGCAAAGAACTAAGACAGATAGTAGATGATACTGATCTACAAACAAGGTGCAGTTTGTATAGAGCTTAGGCTCTAAACAATCAGCCTACCTTCAAATAGTATCGAGAAATGTGGTTTGAATAATGAAAATCTTTGTGATAGCATTAAAATGTATTTTCATTTTTATTTATAAAGTTTAAAGCTTCAAAAAGAGTGCAGATCGATAGATCTATGAAAACTTCAAAATCTTGAAAATTAACGGTTGAAAAATGCGTTACAAAATACACTATTTCCAAAACTTGAAATCCATCTTTTTCTCACGTCCATGCATCTTGATGTCGAGATGATCAATTTGAATATATTTGAGCATCAAAACAACCTCTTCTAGTAAAAGTTTTGAGGTAGGTTCAAATTTGAGCTTCGGCTCTATATAAATTTTTCCCGACAATAAATGATGTAATAACATATATACCAAATAAAATTCATTTTCTAAGAACTAAACATGCAAACGATAAAACGTAAAAGGTCAAATAAAATAAAACAATAAAAGATGTTTAAACCTATCTGGTAACCGACAAATTCCTCATTAACTTAAACCTACACGACACAAATCTCAAAAAAAAAAACCCCTAAATTGTAAATATTGTATGGCAATTAAAAAAAAAAAGAAGAGAAAATTTGAGGTTGTCTTTTGTTGGAGACATTGGACAGCTCCATAAATTTTAAAAAAAATAATAAAAAAAATAAAAAAATAAAAAGTTAAAGGCGATTCAATGTTTCCAACATCAAACTGCCTCAACTCTATGTAAAGTTAAAATGGTTGATGTAATTCTACAATTTATTTCCAATTCATTAAAAAAAAATTTTGTTCTTAAAAAGTGATAATTTCTGGGTAAAAGAATTGTTGATTCAACACTTTAATGATTTCTTGAAATGATTTGACCATTTAATGATATTTTTCTTTTACTTTTAGATGATTCAGATATTCTCTCCCCAAATCCTGCTCTCTCTCTAAATTCTGTGCTTGTGGTCGGCTCTCTCTGGGTCTGCAATCGACAAGGAGAGGGGCATGCTACACATGAGTTCTACCCCACCTAATCCTCTCGTATCGATGTGAAAGGAGTAGGAATACTTTGTTTTCGTAACGGGAAAGCATGGAATCAAATTATTTATCTTTGATACAGGGTGGTCACACAAATCTTGACCATTGGATGTGGTTGCAATTATTTCATTGATCAAGCTTAAACTTCATAAACTTCAAAAAGAATTTTATAACACAACTAAGCTATCAAATATGACATCAACTAGTTGTCAGGAATTATAACCACCTTGTATCAAAGGTAAATGGTCTCACTGCGTATAATCCCTTTCGCAATATACTAAGCCGCCACCTGGAGGATCTAACAGTCAATTCAAAGCATAATTTTACTCGCAGGGTGACATTTTTATAAAGAAAAGTATAAAATGAGACTATGTACATTTGGTACAATGTGGTCCCAATTAATCTTGATCATTAGATGTTAAATTAGATGGTTACATTTAAATTTCATAATTAAAATTGATAATAGAATCTTTTGACATGGTTTAGAGGTGCGAATATTTAAGGTTGATGCTTTATAAAAAATAGTGCAGATTAAGGAGATTTAAAACAATTGAAAATTTTAAAAATGGAAGGTCTAGATATTTCATTACAAGATGCACTATTTTCATAACTTGAGATTTTGTTTTTCAATTGCATACATATCAAGGTCAAGATGATAAACTCGAGGGTTTTCCTGCATCAAAAAAACTTTTCTAATGATTTTTTAAGGTGCATCTTACTTGTATATAGGTTTTTTTTAAAAACCATAGAAATAAGCAGTTCAAGTTATGATGTTAAATTCGAGGGTTTTCCTGCACCGAAACAACTTTTTGGCGTTTTCCTGCATCGAAACAACTTTTTCTAGTGATTTTTTAAGGTGCATCTTACTTGTATATAGGTTACCTTTAAAAACCATAGATATAAGCGGCTCAAGTTATGAGAGACAGCTCCTCGTTTGTTGTGAGAGAGAGAGAGAGCTCCTCGTTTGTCTAGCTTTACAAGCATTTGTTGGCAATGTAGGAATAAGCAGGATCATATTATGGTTCCCTCGTGAATATCAGACCAAGCTGGATACCTTGGAGGTATGGAGACTTAAAATGAAGTAATTAGTAACACATATAATTAGGGGTGAGGTTCACATGAGGGCTGTGAACCTCGATCAAATTTTTGTGTACCACTAAATTTTTTTTGGAAGGTATCATTATGGTGAGCAATATTTTTATGAGTCTAAATTTCTATTTCTTCTCCTAATCATGAAATTTAAAGCTCCAAATATGGTTTAAATGAAGCAGATCTATAAATAATTAAAATTTTTGAAAATTGATAGTTTAGATAATATTTTACAAGATACAATTTTTAAGACTTGAAATCTTTTTTTTTTCTTTATCTATATATCTCAAGGTCAAGATGATCAATTGCAGGATTTTCTAGCATTCCAAATTTTTTTTGTTAAAATTTTCAGGTGCACCTTTCTTCTACAACATGAGGTTGATGTCTTATACAAACTTATCCTATAATTACATTTCCGTATAAATCCTCAAACAACAGGGAGTAAGACTTGACTACATTAGCAGTGTAAAGCTCCTTGGTATATATATGTATCAGTATTAAGACATTATCAGACGTAAAAGCCATTTCACTATCACATGCTTAGTAGTGCCATAAAACTGTAACTTGTTCCAATTTCTGTGTATTGTAAATGTGGCCTTTTCATGGTGCACAAAAGGGTCTTAAAAAAGGTTTGTAAAAAATGTGGCGTCCTTGACGATTAAGGATAGGGGGATCGGTTTGGTACGAGGTGATTAGAAAGTTTGCTAGTGCTTTCATGGCTTGTGGTGGTGCTCAAGTGGTTTAGGGCTGGTGAATCCATTAATAGATGGATTGTGGAACTCGGGTTCAATTGTGGAACAAGGAATCTCTGTATCCTCTCTCAGTTAAATATCGAATGATCTGTGCCTAACAGGTTCACATATGCAAAGCTCTCGCTGAAAGTGGCGATGGTCATTGCCACAACATGGAATGCGTGATGATGCCATGGCTACATGTGCTTCCATGGATCAAGGCCAGGGTGGCAACGGACCAGGTGAGCCTTGCCTTGGCGGCGCTGAGCAGGGCCAAAAACAAATAAAGAACACAAAAAAAGAAATTAAGAAAAAAGAGAGCCAAGACATGCTGAACCGGGCCGGCATTGGCCCTAGCCCATCGCTCACTCCAAGGTTTGTAGCCCAGACCCTACTTTTATGGGCTAGGCCAACCAGGCTGGGCCATGCTGCCCAGCCCATTGCCAGACCAAGCCAGATGGCTCTGACCATATGTTTTTAGGTCATATCTTTAAATTATTTCCACTGTCAATAGCAACTTGCGAAGTAGGCTTTGTTATATTTTTTAATGTATTTGTTTTGGAAGAGTGTATAAAAAAATCATTTATCTTTGGTACAAGGAGATCACAATCACTCATATATGTCAAAGTTCAAATCAGGTGATTGTGAATGTCTCATTAACTAGGTCCAAATTCAAAGAAGTCTCTCGACACAGCCCAAACAGTTCTATTTAAAATTAGATGGTTGGAAATATTTGTGACATCCTTATATCCTTATAACTAAGGTAGATGGTCTCATAGTATACAATCCTATTTGTTTTCTTCTCTACTAACCTCTATATGCGACCAATCAAATTTTTGTATTCCTGGATATCTTTTTTGTGAAAGGGAAAGATGTCACGTTAGTGGAATTCTACGTTTCCAACCAAATTTCTTTAACCTAGGTTCTAATTTAGCAGGCAAATTTTTCACTTGTGGATCTCATTTTAATGCCAACCCCAATTAATTGGAAAAATACTATGATGATGATGATGGTGATCTCATTTTAAATATTTTTGGATCTACATTTGAGAGAGAGAGAGAAAAAGAAAACTTGAAGAGTCAATTCACTTACATGCAAACTTGGTCCGTTGCCACCCTGGCCTTGATCCATGGAAGCACACGTAGCCATGGCAAATCATCACGCTTTCCATGCTGTGGCAATGACCATCGCCACTCTCGGCGAGAACTTTGCATATGTGAAAGAGATCATATAATGAAGCTATAGATCAAATATGTGCCTAATAAATAAATAAATAAATAACTTCCAACATTCCCAGTTGAACAGTAAAAGACATCATATAATGAAGCTTCTGAAATACATGAAGGTGATCAAACAAATAAAGGAAAACATACATTAGAATAATGAGTACTCTTGCAATATGGAACGACAGCAAAACCATTATCCAAAATTTTGAATTTCTCAATACTCAAAAACCCTGTTTATCAAACAGGACCAAATAATAATTACTTAGACAGATATCCAGATTTCTAGGATAAATAAAGAAGCTATAGCATACGACGCTAACGCCCATAAACAAAGGTGAACAATTGCCTTATTCGTTTCTGTGGAGGCTACCTCAAATCCAATGTTGTATCAATAACAAAAGATGTTAACAAGCAAGGAAATCAAACTGCAATGGGAAAAACACCAATGGGGTGGTGCTTTGCCTTTTGAACTATAGAAACAACTCATGGAAAGGGAGATCTAATAGGAAAGAAAGGTGAAGTGGCTACTCAGAGAAGATCTACTCAACCTCAGAAGAAGAAGAAGAAGAGGGGGGTCGTCTAAGGGGGAAGTCAGTTGGAAGTGTGATGAGTGGGTCATTGCTACTCAACCCTCTGTATGCCAACCCCATGGCATATCCCAATGCCATAGCCACCGGCACGGCCACTGCATTCCCAACCTGCATGTACCTGTCATTTTTGACAAAAAGTAAGAGTGCATTCTCCCTCACACTCACACACACCCACATGCAAACACTCAAACCTGATCTGCTCATACCCCTGCCTCAAGTCCTAAGTCTCTCTCAATGAAATTTTTGTATTTGAACATCCTCTCTCTCTCTCTCTCTGTCTCTCTCTATGACATGCACACAACCAAATTTGGGTATTTGAACATCTCTCACGCAACCACATTTGGTCGCACCATTTCCTTGTGTCCCAAGACACACACATATGCAGGAAACGGTCATATAGGCTGTCCGGCCTATGGAATTGTGTAGGCCGGACAACCCAGACTCAATTTAGGCAGATCTGATGGCCAGGGCACATGGACACTGATTGCTTTTAATTCACATAAATCTGAGGGACTCGAAATTTTGGGGGCACGTGTGCCTAACGTTGGTGCTCTAAAAAAATTGTAAATAAAATAATATACTAAAAATGATCCAAACAACCCTCCCCTCCCTTCCCTCCCCTACCCTTCCCTCTTTGGTCGTCGTGTACGGCAAATTGAATCTAAGCTGTTGGGCTAATGTTGTTCCGTCAGCACTTGCGCTAAGAGAATCATTTTCTATGTGTGCGTGTGCGTCAGCATGCCCATTAGTCCCGTGAAATTCAAAAGCTAGGTTCGCACATTTACAAAGTAGTCTGATTTTCTATAATTAATTTTAGCTCACAAAAAGCAAAAGAATCAAATCCGACATGCATGTATCCTAAAAGTATGGGGATCATTTCATGTACGTGGACCCTAAAGGAGCAATGTGAAGCTAAACAAGCTTGAGAAGCACAACTTAGAAAATATAATTGAAAGCAAATTGACACTACCTATCTCTAACTGATCCACAGAGCTTATAATAGTCTGGAAAGCCTTGCAACCTTCCACTCTCACGAACCGTCAACACCCGATCTTGCACTGGATGCAGGATTGCCTGTACACATTCACATGTGAGACCAAAATGTACATCTTTCTCAGTTGTCTGAACTTGGGTCCAGTTTCTAAACTCTCTCTCTCTCTCTCTCTGTTACCCACATTGTATCTATGACTGCATGCATGGTCTCTCTGTTACCCACATTGTATTTATTTGTATTTATGACTGCATGAATGGTCTCTCTGTTACCCACATCGTATTTATGACTGCATGCATGGTCTCTCTGTTACCCACATTGTATTTATGACTGCATGCATGGTCTCCCTGTTAGCCACATTGTATTTATGACTGCATGCATGGTTAAGAGAGTGCCTTCATGTGCTTGTATAAATGTGTAAGCAAACAATTCTGTGCAACTCTCAAATATTGGTACGTTATATGAGAACATTGTAACTGGTGAATTAATAGTAACCATTACTCAAAAAATTTGAAAATCCAAATCAATTTACTCTTGAGTTCCAATCATATTTGTACATTGTTTTCATCATCTTTTTCCAAAGAACAGCACGTTTGGGTGCCTCCATATTGGCATCCGAATTTGGCAGTAATCTGCCAAATTTTAGAATTAGATTTAATTTGCTGAAATCCAGATGGAATTTGCAAAAATAGCCATTTATTATTTTCCTATGTTGGTCTTTTAATCATTTCTTTATTTTCTCTCCTTAGAATCGATTACAGCAGAATATAGAATAATCAGAAACCACCATAGCATTTCAAACCTTGAACCCTAACATGTGGAGGGAAAGAAACACAAAACCTGGTTGTGTGGAGGCGCTCTGGTCAAAACTGTTGGCACAGTTTCATCCCACCACAATCGCGCAAAGGGTCTGAGAAATCCAACCACAAAGTAACAGCCGAAATGAAACAAATACCACAACAAATGAACAAAGCAAGCTTATAAAAAATAGAATCAAAACAAAGAGTAAGTCAGAAGAAAGGCCTCACTTTGAGGATTTTCCATTTAAGTGACTCATAGCATAATCAGGCACCTGAGATCAGAACAAAAGAATGTCACACCAATTGTAGAATTGTAGGAAGCAACTATGTTATAGTGCCTCGAACCATGATCAAAGATGCAGTGCACTGACCAGCGGTTTCCCAGATGGTAAAAGTACCCTCTTGATTTTCGGGTCCCATTCCACTTTATTGTCCGCCCCAACCACAACACCAGGGAGGTCCCTAAAATTTGCTCCCTAGCAATGAAGAAACAAGTGCCACCAACCAACATAAGCATTTCTTTCCATTTGTTTCGTCTTTTAATTGATCAATGGGAGAAGCGTTCTCTTCATTTCTCTTTCCCCAACATCATGGTCAATTTACCCATCAAAAGAAAACAATGCCAGCTCTCTCTCTCTCTC